CATCAATCCTCAAAGAGTCCATTGTACGCGCCAGACAGGTTTGTTGACCTACCTGCATCAAAGTCCTCACGTTGCAGGCCCCCAGATTCAGTGATTGACGAGGTTTTAGAATCTGCAATGTTTTTTGGTAAACTACTTACCGGGTTACTTGGCAACGAACTTTGGCGAGTGACGAACAAGTTGTCTGAGGGAATGTTACGGGTTGGAAAAACTGGTAAAGGGAGAGGGTTGGGTACGGAAGACAAAGAGTTAATCAAAGGTTGGGATATATGAGCTGTAGTCCACTTATCGCTACCCACCCCGCTCGATGCAATGGGCAACGCGGTCCTGATTATCCTGCGCAACGACCGATGCAGCATGAAATTATTTTTTGGTTGTGTATGCATTTGAGTTTAATGGACGGGTACTGCCAGGGTGTCTAGCCACTAAGCAGAACGATTAGGGTTCTCGTCCAAAGCCTTTAGTTTTGGCAAGAACCTGAACGCAAAGTAGCGGGTAAAGCGAAGTAGTAGCCCATTTACTTGGATCAACTACCCTCTACCATTTTACCGACTGGGACGCTAACTCGAGTCGAATCCTCAACCTGGAGGATCAGGAGACTGGACTTCGTCTGATCTCTACCCATTGACCTTCCAAGCATGATTAGATCTGCAGCTTGACAAGAGCCATCCCGTATAGCTCGTTGGGTCAGAGGTGCACAAGCTATCACACCACGTCAATGTGCAGTCTCGTCGTGATGGTGGGGTAACCGGACGAGCAATGCTGAAATTAGGCGTAAAGTTTTGGATAGTCGAGGTCTTCCACTGGAGCAAGTAGTCGGTCTTCATAGATTACACCGGTTGGGACATGTGCCATGCATGTCACCAGATAGGTTGCCACGGCGAGCGATGTTTGCCGAGGCACGTAGCTATTGGAGCAAAATCAAAGGAGATCAAACTAAAACTTGGCATGAGGGTATGACAACCCTAACCAGGAGACTGGGTCACATAGGTCTTGTTAGGCTACCTGGCTGGGGACCCCGAGATCATAGTCACCGATGGTTAGTGACACTGAACGATATGGTTGGATGTTGCAAACAGTGGCGCCCATGCATCTACTCATCATTCTTGTAACTGCATTTGAATTCGCTATCTTTAGGTTGAATCTGCTCTCAATATTTCATTCTTCATTCTGCTGTTTTATCTGAATGGGTAACCTAAAGACAGTAGCAAAATACAGTGCATAGTTAACGGTTGTAAGAACTGAACTGAACTCGCGTTACAAGGCTCGGATTCATAGTATACTTCAGCCAGCTCTTGATCCGGTTCAACGAAACACTATGTGCCTAATCAAAGACGCATTTGCAGTATCTAGCACATTACTAAGCAGTGTCTCCCTTACCCTCATTATATCGATACTATTTTATTCTTTTTTCCACATAAATTGGCTCTTTTTGTGTCCCATAGACAAGCGGATGGACAATAATTCCAATTGATCATTCCCAGGAGTCAAACTCCTAACCGATCATCTTATTGCAAGAAGAGTAAGACAGAAACACCTGGCTCCTCGGACTTTCCTCCAACTTTGACCTCTGAACGCAATCTATAGGACGACTTCTCTGGCACTCGCTTTGTAAATTGTAGAACTTCCCTGATTGCTTTGAATATATATATATATATATAATCAATGATTTGTTCGTGAACGAGGTGTTTTCAGGTCTCTTCTTCAGTCCCTTTCCCTATGAACTACAACTATTACGGCGTAATGAGACATGGTCACTCGCGTTATGGATTCCCTAAATTGATGCTTCTCAAAAACACGGTAGATTTTGTACAACCTAAATGCAGTTGGAAGACAAAGTGCGTAGTCGCGGAAACTAATCGATCTGAATTTAGTTGACTAGTGTATGCTGCGGGTCCCTTCGACAATGAAATGGCGCGTTTTTCTCCCTTCATCTTCACGATCGCCCGAATTTTCGAGTCTTGAAAAGGGCAGTACATTCACAGGCTGGAATCTGAAAGAAAAAGGATGTGCTAGCAGACAGTAAGCTCCCCACGTGAGAAACCACGATTGTAAGTTACTACAAGTGAAGTATACCTAATTAATTCGAATCAGCGACAATGGTTACCCGTATTGCGAGAATTCAATCATCTTACCATAACTTAGAGAGCCGCGTAGTTATAGTTATCACGCTTTTTCTCAATGAAACCGCCGCATTTTATCTCGAGCAGTAAACTACAAGGATACGAAACATGGTGCTGGGAAATTATTCCTGCCATGACACCATAAACAACAATCAGCGGAAACGTAATCAACGGACAAACGCCCAGTACACCGGCAAGTTATGGACACAGCTCAGAGAGACTATTAAATTGGATAGATTCAGGACATCACAACGACAAGGAAAGCACTCCAGGTGGACGAGTGCCACGGGCACCCGGACAAGAATGATGGCATTTCGTGGGGAATGAACCCCGAACAAAAACAAAAACGTAAAATCTGACTCGTTACGACATTGACAAAGTGCAGAGGAATAGGAAATTACACCGCCATTCAATTGCATTAAAACGCACATAAATGCGAGCGCATGAGGACCTTAGCATGTGAATGCACAGAAAACAAAATCAGGAAAACGTGATTTTGTATTGAAGAAAAAACGGAAAACTAGTGCATATAGCTTCGGTCAAGTAACCATAAGTGACGAAACGCAATAATACACGCCTTTGGCTCATAGGAAAAGTCAAGAAAAAGACTGAAGCACGATACACCGTTGACATGCAGTACTAATGGTAGGCTTGAAGTAAGCAGGGACGCTCGCGGACCGTGGGAAAAGCTCAATACAGACTTCAAGAAGAATGAGATGTCCTTAATCCGTCTTTCCTCCTATGTGTTCAGCAACCTCTGTGGCCTTTTTCCGCGCTGCAAACAGAAGTGAAGCACATATTTTAGAAGTTTCGAGAATCAGATTTGGATAATCAAGAGAACTGGAACCAAGTCAAACAATTTATGAAAAAAGTTCGGTGGAACGAAGTTACCTTTCTAACGGAAAGTTGGTTCGGGTCACAAATAGTAGATACCCTGGAAAATTCTGATCAGCACAAAAACGGTGTGGAAACAAAATTAATCCAAACGTATAGCCGCATTTATAGCAAACCACATGCCATTGCGGTTCAATTCCAACGATCAATGAATATTTTCTGTAATTAAGATTAGGAGTGCTGAACTCTGATGGCAATCAACCAGCCATCGAGAAAACAAACAAGTCCATAACCATTGATTCTTTTATTACACACCTAATTGCGGTGAACAGCAGACGAGGCCATCCGCATCGTCACGAGGTAGTAGAAACCAGCAACCTAAGCCCCGGGAGTGGCGAACCACTTAAGGCTCCGCTGGGTTAGGAATGATATTGAACCGGAAGATAGCAGAGCTGCCTACCACCAAATAAACCATTGGTTTGGAGTTGAATCCATCGCACTCGAATACTAAAACTAAACGCTGCAACTTAGACAGTATGTTTATGAAAGCCATGTTCATTCGGCTGATAGGTAGCCCTGACGAGTTCAAACCAGGAATCGAGGTGAGAACCATTAACAATCGGGGGATAATTAATGAGGGTTAGGCTGTGGGTTTTCAATTTTGTACAGAAATGTTTTCAAGTTTCTTCTTAAGTTGTATACCGCACAAGCTCAAGGCTTTTGTTGTACAAATACGCTGGTGCTAGATCAATTACAAGACGATTTAAGGAGTAGCGTACCGCAACAGGGACTGTATGGAAGGTAAGACCACACATTTCAGTTTCAGTTTGTGCAACCATTAACCATGCGCTGCACATTTGGATGAAGCAGTAGAAAGATAGGAATTTTTAAAGTAAAATCGAAGAGAAAATTCAGAATTTCAGAGAATTAATGTTACAAGAAAATTGAGATGCACGAACATCACTGTTTACAACTTCCAGCTAAATCACCCAGTGTCTCTAACCATTGATTACGCTGGCCTCGAGGTCCCCATCCAGGGGGCCCAACAGAACCCATGTGACCCATACTCCTGGTTAGGGGTTTCGTACCCTCATGTCAGGTCTTAGCCTCACCACTCTTGGCTTAACTCCAACCACTATCCGGCTCAGCAAACATCACTCACCGTGGCAACCAATCTGGTGACATGCGTAACATATACCCCAGCCAGCGCAATCTATGGAGGTCGACCACTCGCTCCAGTGGATGACCGCAATAAGACCCCAAGACTGGGACTACAAGCAAATCATGGAAGATTTTTCTTTCATAAGGGTTACTGTACTGTGATTTGCTTGGTACAGTCTGGATTCAGACGTTTGTGCAAATATAAAAAATATTAATGTCCTCACGGCATTCAACTGTAACGGTTCTCATCAGGAAACCGTGGCCATTCGACTGTGCAACAAAGTTGAGGTAATGAACCGAAATTTAGGCATACGAGGCGGCCTATTACAGACAAGTTTGTGGCTTGCCAGTGTATTTGGAATGATGCTGCGCTGTGGACATTATGGGCAGTGACTGTCAGTTATCGATCACAGACGAAACTATCCCCGTTCCAGGTCTAGCAAGCGTATGTTATCTCATAGAGCGGTGTGAATTACTATAGTGAACCTTGTGTGAGTAAATGCGGTCGATAAAAGAAGCCAGTAAGCGCGCGACCGGATTCGTAATGCCCAGCCATGTCTCACTGACCCCACCGACTGATCCAGTGGTGCAGAACCTATTTATTCTGCTAGAATTATTGGGATAGTGAGCCATCACAACAAACCAAGGTGCCGATCCATCGTATATCATTTAAGGTTTAAATAGACGGGATCCAACAGTATTTGAAGCAACGGCCAGCGGTACAACACCAAACAACTGTGCAACTCTTTAAACGAAAATATACCTTGCAAAAATCTACGGTGAAATTTGCTTGTTTCAGAATAGTCTTTATAAAATCGACTTCTGATGAAGTTCTCGTTTATGATGTTAAGAAAGGAAACAAAACAATGGCTGGACAATGCATTAACGAGGGCATCCAGAAAGCGTCAAAAACTTCTGGTTATAGAAGTACTCACCAGTATTTGCGAAGTCACCAGCTAAATCAGCAGCCGCATCGAACGCCTGATCTAATTTCTTTTCGTGCTTCAAGATGTATGGCCGTATAAGCTTTTCATAGATCATGATCGAACCATTAGGTTTGGTGGGTGTCATCAGGAACAAGAAAACACAACACTAAATCCGCATTGAAAGTAAAAATAAAAAACCAAACCTTCAACAAAGAATAGAGTGGAATCCAGTAGAAGAATATGTCCGTAAATGCTTCAATGACGCTGACAGTGGCAAACACAACCCAATACGTAAGCCATTTGGTGTCATCTTCTTTATCAAAGGTTTCCAACGCTTTTATGCTGCACGAAAACGTTAAGAAGTATGCAATTCTTACGATTTGTATGCGGGATATATGAAACCAATGACTGTAGCGATGAGACTGGTCCCATATCCGAAGACCAAATAAAGGGCGAGGAAAGCGACAAAACCTGACAACACTATATTGACGTAAAAAGATCATACCAAGAACCAAATTGACCCTTGAAATCTTGGTTTTTTCCTCTGCTTTTGCCAATAAATCATTGAATGCATTCTTCTGGTGTAAATTCTCGTCCAGAGACGACCGTAGCGAACGAAGCTTGTCCATCCTTGTGAAACAGAATGACCTTCAGGCGCCAATAAATGGATTGAATAAAGAAAAACAGTGCAAATTTAAAATAAAATTCAAATCCCTGCACGCAGGGAGACATTCGCAAATGAGTTGTTCTGTTATTGACGGTTTCCGTATGCGGAATGACTTCGGTCATGCCAGGTAAGGTTTCTAGGACGAAAACGGGCTCCAGTTCAGTTAAGTTCAGTTCAGTCAGTCAGTCATTTTGCACAAGACAGGAGATGGCCACGGCCAATCGAGCGTCCAGATTTCCTCCGGTACTAAGCCCCGTTCTGGCTCCTACCACTGCGAGCGTTCTATATTGCAGTTCTATACGTTTTCTTCACGTCTCAGTTGTCTCCGTCTCTG